TACCAAAGAATTCTGGGGTGCAATGGAGGGCCGAGTGTCAGAAAGTTGGGTCTCTATCAGAGGTCATGGGTCTTACAGCAGGACAACGACCAAAAGCAGAAATGGTTTCAGACAAAGCGCTGGGGAGTACTGGACTGGCCAGCAATGAGTCCAGATCTGAATCCCATAGACAGAGCTCCTGTGGAGAGATCTGAGAACAGCAGTTGGGAAATAGAACCTTCCAATATGAGAGAACCAGAGCGGGAAAGAAGAGTGCTCCAAAATTCCTGTAGAGAGGTGTAAGGAACTCATTGATGGTTACTGGAAGCCATTGATTTCAGTTATTTTTTCCAAGGGCTGTGTTACCAAATATTAATTGAGGGTGCCAATCATTTTGTCCCAATGTGTTTTGCGTGGAATGTGTCAGATTTGGCTTTTTTTTCCTCCACTTTTTTGTGTCATACCAATACAAACAAAAGAAATAAACATGAGAATGCCGAAACATTTGTAATTGCAACAATTTTCTGGGCGAAGTGGTGGATTATCTGACAGAAATGTAGGGGTGCCAATATTTTTGGCAATGACTGTATTCCAGCTTACCAGTCTTTAGATGTGATGGTTGCACAGGTTTTTTTTTACTATATCTACGGAGAAGCACCGTCATCACCCTAGGCTGCTCTTCCAATTGGGATTCAACCCCCCCCCCCACCCCCCATCACATAGGAAGAGGTGTTCTGTAGTTCCCAGACAAAAACTGGTGAGAGCTGATAACACTGAGATATTAGTTCAGTGCATAGGAAGGACGCTGGATATCCGACAGGATCAAAAGCTATTTTACAAATTACTTTTGTCTATAGACGGCCAGGTTGAAAATTGTCGGCTGAAGAGTGGCTGCTGCCAATCGGCTGTAGTCCTTATTCGGTATTCCGCCACCCGTGGCTGTCAGAATACAATAGCTGGAAAGGGAAATTACCCCATCCAGGCTCTGTAGCGTACATGGGGTAATAAAATGATTTCTTGTTTTCCTTTTCCAGCCCACGGTGGTAATGGCATGCAATCACCAGTACGCAGTTACACGCCAACCCGAATTTGCACATCCATGAAGGTCCAGGTACCCGCACTTGGACGCAGACAGCGCATCCCCAGACCTTCACAGATGTGCAGGTTCAGGTCAACGTGTAACTGCGTGCAGCCACGTCCTCCCATAGGGAAGGACAGGTGCTGCGTGTAATTGCTTGCAGTCGCCTGTACCTCCCTATGGAGGTACAGATGGCTGCACGCAACTGCATGCAGCACATGTCCCTCCCGGGATCAGGTCTCTGCACTGGCGTGCTTGCTGTATGGATGTGCATGCCTGTGCAAATGTGCCCTTACTCTGAAACTGCATGTGGCACCATATGAGCTAATAATCCAAACTAATAACTGGAAACTTACGCTCCATATAAAATGATAGCAAACAATGTAAAATGGCACTTACCCTCCCTCTTCATGCCGGTAGCCAGACACTTTTGATATCGGCAGTACTGGCAGCGGTTCCTTTGTCTTTTGTCCACAATACAGTCCTTGCTGTCCCGGCAGGTATAGGTCAGGTCTTTGCGGATAGTCCGTTTGAAGAAACCCTTGCACCCTTCGCAGCTGTACACCCCATAGTGCTTTCCTGTGAGGACACAAACCAGTACACTGTTACCAGGAGATCATTAAATGCCAGAGTTCTCTATACAGAATTAAAACACGTTTTTGGTCTGACCATATACACATTGATTTCATATCCAATTCATTGCTTGATACAAATGTTTCAGCAACTGGATAGTAAAAAAAAAAAAAGTTGCTCAAAGAACAGAAAACTTGGCTGTGTTGATCGCTATTAAACAAAAAAGGAGCCATCATCAGTAGGGATGACCTAATCTGCCCGGGTTCAGTCCAAGCCCGAAGTCTGCGAATCCTGAACGTAGCGCAAACTCTACTGAAGTCTATGGGAGGTGAACCTAGCTTCTTTTCTGGCCATTTTCAAGGCTAATAGGCAAACTATCGTTGAAGAAGGGCATAGGGAGCTGGGCACTGCCATGTACCAGACCAGGTCAGGTGCCTTGCAAGGCGGTGGCAGTCAAGCATGGGAACGACAATACCCAAGATCCCTGGCATACGTTTACAATATCGCAGCCATGGCATGTCATTTACTATCATGGCATGCAGCATTTTAGCAGATTGCACTGGACCGGAACGCAGGCACTAATGTGCCACGCATTCGGGTGCTGGCAATCGTACTGCGGGCGTGGCTGCGGTGCCATTGACTTCAATGTAACGCCATGCCCCCTCCCGTCCCTGAACGCAGGGGAGTCGGATGGTTTGCTTTCCAGTGCATTCCAGAGGCCAAACGCTCTGGAACGCATTCTTTGTGGTGTGAACCGGCCCTAAATGCCAACTCAAAGGATCATTTAGTTTATCTTTGAAAACACCCGTTTCCCCTCCTGTAGTTGTCTTCCGGGCTATAAGAGGTGTTCAACCCACTTACTATGAGCCCGGGGCATCATGGGCACATCACACTGTGGAACCTCACTAGAGAATGCTCACACGTCAAATATGAGAGCCAATCTGTACAGCACAGAGTACCACCCACTGCCAGAGCAGTGGAGCAGATGGGAGGAAATGAACAGGACCCCATTCATCATGTTACCGCCTAGAATTAAGGTAGGTGGGCAAGAAATTTTCCAGCATATGGATGGTGGCACAGCTTGTGCTTTAGTGTACGGTCACACTAGCTGGTATGCTAAAACGATCAATTGTAGCCTGCAGGCTGATGTCTGTGTGTGCTGGTGGTGGGGGGGTTGCCGTGCAGTGAGGAAAAATGTAGACATGCTGCATTTTTTTGCACCTCTAGTGTGGTGTGAACAGGGCATATTGAAAATAATTGTTTCAACGGCCCTCGTGGAGACCCACGGTGCTCAGGTTCAGAGAAAGGAAGGTCTCCGCAAATGGTGTCACCAAGGCCCTAAAAGTTGGAGCTGCCCTTCAAAACTGACCTTTACCCCCTTCGAATTAAAATCCCATCAGCATGCAGCACTTCATGCTATGAAATCATCTTACATTCATTAAACATCTTTTTTTCCCTCTTTTACCTACAATTATCATTTTTCCACTTCCTGGTCTTCTTGGGCATTAGTGGTGTAATCTGTGCCTAAAAGATGCATCCTGGGAAGGTTACACCACAGAGCATTGCTGGGAAATCTCATCTGTAAACTGCAAAATCTTGTGAGATCTCAGGGAAATGCATTATTTTTGGATGTGCATGGTCACATGTCCTAGTGACATGTGCCAAAGTTCCAGGAACTAAAGGGAGATGGATTCATCTGCCCTTAGTGAAAATGGCCACTGTGAGAAGAAGGGGGAGGAAAAGAAAAATAAGGGATGTGAAGAATAAAAAGCCGGCAATTATCTAGAAGTATCTGTGTGTGGATTGTCATCACTAAACATTTCTAAAGGGGTCTTTGATGTTATTTTTAGGAGACGGGTGAAGTTGCTATTTAACTGCCCTCCCTCCCCTCCGAACATGTCCTTTATCTTTACTTTCATGAAGTCCTATTTAGGAAATGACCCGGGACTTTGAAAAAGAAGGGATCCTAAGATACCCTGCCCTTCCATTTGAGATGCAGCAATGGGTGCTGAATACTAGAGGTGCACTGAAATGGAATTTTTAAAACTGAAATAAATAAAAAATGTCAGGCCGAAACCGATACCGAAAGTTTTTTATTTTTTCAAATTTTTCAAATATTTTATATTTATTCATTTTTTTATTATTTTTAACTTTACTTTTAGGGGCTTCGGCGAAATATTAGGGGTCTAAACAGACCCCTGATATTTCCCTTTTAAAATAGAAAAAGAGATTGAGAACACAGAGACCTCAATCTCTTTTTCTGTGTCCCCTGTTATCAATGAACAGGAATCCTCTATGAGTGTTCCTGTTCATTGATAACATGAGAACATTATTTGTTTACTATAACTACAATTATGAATGAATGGGGGTGATGTAGGGGTGATGTAGATCACTTCCCATTCATTCATAATTGAGGATATAGTTAACATATCCTCAATTATGTACACACACTCAGCGATCACTGATCGCTGAGTGTGTGTACCTTGCTCTCCCCTCTGACACGCTGTCACAGGAGGCTGATCGAGCGGTGTAGAGAGGAAAGCCCAGCCTCCTGTGACAGCGATGTCTCCGCCCACACACCGCTGTGCGATAGGCGGCTGAGCGGTGTGGGAGGAGACGCCAGCAGCTCACAGCGCTCTCTCACAGCGCTCAGCCGGCTGTCACTTTCTCTTCTCCCCGCTGGGACACAGAGCAGCGCCCAGCGGGAAGGAAAGAAATCAGGGATGCGCCGATGCATCAGCAGGAAAATGGCACTTTCGGCATTATGCCAAAAGTGCAATTTACGGTCAATATGTTTCGGCGGCCGATATATTGGTGCATCCCTACTGAATACTACCAACTGGGGGTAAGAGGAGAGGCAGTCACCATGTCTAAGCTCTGACCATTGAGAGTTGGAGCTTACACAGGGCTCCTCTACCTTGCTCCCAAAGGTAAAAAGATTGGCAGGGGCTGCGGGGTTACAGGGTTACACTAAGCCTGTGCTTGGACCATGCAGGACAAAGCAATAGCTTCACCTAAAAACTGAATGGATTTCCCAAAAGCACTTCCCTGATCTATGCTCTGTAGTTGTCTCTATTGCACAATAACAGCATGGCTACAAATGCAAAGACAACGCACAGACTCCGAGTCAATCTAAAAATGTTTTATACCCACAGCAACCCATAGCCTTCCAGCTGTCAATTGTGTGTTGCAACTGAGAATGAAGCAAGACCTGCAACTGGTTGATGAGGAACTACGGCTTCTGTTTTCCTCTTTTCAAGTTTAATTTGCTAACCTATTGCAAATCTAACTTTAGATCCAGTGATGTCATCACCGGGTCTCTGTGGCTGGTGAGAAGGGCCGTAAGGGTGCTGCATATAACTTCCTGAAATCAGGAAGCGGTGATAATGCCCACATGTGATGCTGAGCTTTCATAATGGAAAGAACTGAAATGCAATTATGAAAGGGGCGGGCCAGACAGTCTGGAGTGGAAAGCGCTAGATGATGCAGTGAAATGAGAGGAAGCAATTTCAGTCCAGGAGAGGAGCCGGTACAACTGTGCAAAACTTGAAGGGAAGGAGGTCAGCTTTAGGATTCCAATTTGCTGTACAGATCGTGCACTGCCATCTCTTGCCAATGCAACTGACTATTAACATTACTCTCCCTGGAGGACTCACTAGAGAGTCCCTGGGATTTCCCAATCTTTCTACACTGGGGTGGAAGGCTGCAGCTCACACACCCGTCTGCAGCTAACAAACCACCCCTCCCCTCCCAGCGTGCTGCTATCTGCATAGTAATCACACAGCAGCAGTGCTATGGGAATACACCGGATTCGTCTGCGAATACCTGGATATCACCCTCTCAGTTCTGATGAATACACCCAAATACCCATGCAATGGGCTCCCCTCCCGCACTGCAAGGGTTAAACTGCAGGAGAAGATATACAAGCTGTAATACTTCCCTTATCCTTCACTCCATCACATTACCTCTACGGTGTGCGACCGGTGCCGCAAAGCCTTTTCTCTCAGGCACTGCATCACATACAATGCAGGACCAGTGGCCCTACATTGTACATGAGGATGGCGAGGACCTGGGCACAGCACATGGAGAGCGGCGGAGAGAAGATTGCTGGCAGCCAGGGGAGTGAGGGATAAGGAAAGTATTACAGCCCATTCCTCTAACCCGAGACTTAAAAGAGAACTATGGGGTAAATGTTTTTCCCCATAGTTTTCTTTAGGGTCACAGGAGTACATATACTAACGTCCTCCCGTGACCCAAAGCTCAGTATATCGCAAGCTACAGCTCGCGGTATACTGAGACCACCGCAGCCGGGACGGATCCTGACAATGCTATAGGAGATCCACCAGGCTGCGTGAGAGCTGGCTCTGCCTATCTAGGAGGCAGCTGTGCCCGCCCCCTCCCCCGTCCGTTCCTCCAGTCAGCGCTAGAGGATCGGAGCGGAGCCACCGCTCTACATCGCATCGCATGGCTGCTGGTGTGCATGTGCCCAGTGCAGTGCTGATACTCATAATCGCACTTTTCTTTTTAGAACTTTATGTGACATTTACTTAAGTTCTATGGGCACAGCACAGAGCAATGAGGTTGTAATGAGCGTGACGCTCTGCGCTGTTCTGAAAAAAAAAAAGTACTGCATGCTGCTCTTTCAGCACAGAGCGCCGCAATGCTGTGGTGTGAATTAAGCCCATCTGAAACAAAACAAATTGAGTTGCATGGCGGCTGCACACTCACCAGAAGAGCGGTCTCCGCAGATGGCGCACAGCCTTTTCCCAAGGCCTGCCCCTCCGTTGGGATGTCCTTGCATGACTCTCATCCCCAGAGGGGGCTTCACATCTTCAGAGGAGCTGACTGGGTGCAGACTGGACAGAACGGTAGAATTTATCTGTAATGAGAAATATACAATGCAGAGGTTACAATGCATAGCAGACAACGGGGAATCATTGCTGCAGAGAAAATGTCCATTCAATACCGCAAAAGAACACCAATAGACTGGCCACCGCATGTCGCTTCACCAAAACACATCCTCCATTAGCAAACTACAGCCTGTGGTGTAACATCCAAATCCCCAAATGGAACCTTACAGGAGGAGGTAACTGAATAAGGAAGAGACCCAAATTGGAACAGAACTGCAGAACCTAATTTATGGGGATCTATGGTCAAAAGCTAAAACAAAACAAAAACAAACAAACTGTATTTTTAGATTGAATCTCCAGAGATTCTATCCCCCTCCTACTAACCAAATCCATCTAGAAGTCTGTAAACTTACTTATTAAAGATGCTCATAAGATGGACTTACTCGGGGCATTGAACACTTCACTCAGCCCTGCGAACATGCACTTCCTGGTAGGGATGCACCGATGCCGTTTCTTCCACTAGCTTGGAGCCAGCTTCTTGGGCAATCAGGAAGCCGGGCAGGGTGTCATTACCCACTGGCCGGCTTCTTGATTGCCCGGGAAGCCGGCTAGCTGCTGATTGGCTGGGAAGCCGACTTCCGGCCCAGGGGGCGGGCTCTATAGCCAGCTTCCCAGCCAATCAGCGTGAAGCCAGCTTCCCAGCCAATCAGCGTGAAGCCAGCTTCCCAGCCAATCAGCGTGAAGCCAGCTTCCCAGCCAATCAGCGTGAAGCCAGCTTCCCAGCCAATCAGCGTGAAGCCAGCTTCCCAGCCAATCAGCGTGAAGCCAGCTTCCCAGCCAATCAGCGTGAAGCCAGCTTCCCAGCCAATCAGCGTGAAGCCAGCTTCCCAGCCAATCAGCGTGAAGCCAGCTTCCCAGCCAATCAGCGTGAAGCCAGCTTCCCAGCCAATCAGCGTGAAGCCAGCTTCCCAGCCAATCAGCGTGAAGCCAGCTTCCCAGCCAATCAGCGTGAAGCCAGCTTCCCAGCCAATCAGCGTGAAGCCAGCTTCCCAGCCAATCAGCGTGAAGCCAGCTTCCCAGCCAATCAGCGTGAAGCCAGCTTCCCAGCCAATCAGCGTGAAGCCAGCTTCCCAGCCAATCAGCGTGAAGCCAGCTTCCCAGCCAATCAGCGTGAAGCCAGCTTCCCAGCCAATCAGCGTGAAGCCAGCTTCCCAGCCAATCAGCGTGAAGCCAGCTTCCCAGCCAATCAGCGTGAAGCCAGCTTCCCAGCCAATCAGCGTGAAGCCAGCTTCCCAGCCAATCAGCGTGAAGCCAGCTTCCCAGCCAATCAGCGTGAAGCCAGCTTCCCAGCCAATCAGCGTGAAGCCAGCTTCCCAGCCAATCAGCGTGAAGCCAGCTTCCCAGCCAATCAGCGTGAAGCCAGCTTCCCAGCCAATCAGCGTGAAGCCAGCTTCCCAGCCAATCAGCGTGAAGCCAGCTTCCCAGCCAATCAGCGTGAAGCCAGCTTCCCAGCCAATCAGCGTGAAGCCAGCTTCCCAGCCAATCAGCGTGAAGCCAGCTTCCCAGCCAATCAGCGTGAAGCCAGCTTCCCAGCCAATCAGCGTGAAGCCAGCTTCCCAGCCAATCAGCGTGAAGCCAGCTTCCCAGCCAATCAGCGTGAAGCCAGCTTCCCAGCCAATCAGCGTGAAGCCAGCTTCCCAGCCAATCAGCATGAAGCCAGCTTCCCAGCCAATCAGCATGAAGCCAGCTTCCCAGCCAACCAGCATGAAGCCAGCTTCCCAGCCAACCAGCATGAAACCAGCTTCCCGGGCAATCAGGAAAGTCAGATTCCCTATGATGAGGGAAAGATTAATAAGTACAAAAAACTTGTTTACATCTGAGCCAAGTAAAAGCGATCGTGAGATGCCTCCTGAGAGAGATGATTATGGACGTCACAAACCCTGTAGCCTTCTAATTTCCAATGCAAACACATTCAAAAGGAGTGGGAACAGAAGTGCTGAGTTACTGCCACAAGGGGGAGCAGAGCTGCTAAGTTACTGCTAACCGTGTTTCCCCGAAAATAAGACAGTGTGCTGCGGCCGGCTGGCGTGTGGGCGGGGCTAGAGCTGCGGCAGGCTGGCGTGTGGGTGGGGCTGGAGCTGCGGCAGGCTGGCGTGTGGGCGGGGCTGGAGCTGCGGCAGGCTGGCGTGAAGCGGTAGAAGGGGGAGCTGAGCTGCTGCATCACTGCTGGAAGGGGGAGCCGAGCTACCGAGTCAATGCTTGAAGGGGGGAGCAGGAGAGGTACTGAGAAACCTTCAACAACCTCAGTGCTTCTGCTGCAAAGTTTGAAGAATTGATTCACAGAACCTGCAGCTACGAAGTCAGAGAGGGCTTAAAAGTCATTTAATGCTAGTTAAGAATATGCAAAATACTTAAATATTCATGGCCACGCAACAAAGTTTAAAAATACTTGTTTTTATGAAAACTTGCAGTTATCTTAAATCAGAACTCGACATAAAAAAAATATTTAATTATCCTTAATTCTAGCAATGTTTTGTGCCCTGTAGCAACAGGAAATAAACAGTGCAGCTTCCCTAATCACCCCTCCGCTCCCAGTATCCAATTGAAGGGTCAATGAGGTCAAAAACTCTGCTCCTCATCTCCCTGCATACGTGTCCCTAAGAAGGTGATTAAAGGAAGCCAATATAAAAAAAAAAAAAAAAACATATTTAGGTATTTATTGTTGCTGTAAATCTACCACGTGACTTTTTTTTTTTATAAAATACATAAAAACGGCATTAACTGGCTTTTTAATATTTGCTGGAGTTACACTTTAAGAATTACATTACCCAGTTCCTCTGACCACCCACCACTCAGGACAAAACTAGCAATTTGAGGCCTCACGAGCTCGCGCAGGAGATATCTTGCTTGCACATAAAATAACAGAATGATCTGAATGTATAGTCACCAGCAGAACGGGATTTGCATGAATGGAGCTTTTGTATTTGGCCTCTGATACTTCTCCTAATAAAACCACAAACAATTAACAGAACTCTTAACAGAACATGAGCCTCCGGCGGCTGAACGATTTGCTCAGCCCACAGAACTCTAATGACTCCACAGATATCGGTGATATGAAACGATTGGTCTCATTTGACTGAGTAAACATTTATTTCCATGCAAAGACCTTCTGCCTGACACACAACCTCATCGATCAAACCGGGAAGAACGTTCTCAGTCTGTGCTTAATGGGAGAGCAAAGAGAAGCAACTGATTGGCTGTTATGGGAAATTAAGACAAAATGTTTGTCTGTCTCATCATCAAGGCCTAACGGCAGCATATCCGAAGACCATATGAACTTTAGGTCTGCCTGTCCTCCCATCGTACTGCCCTCTCTGCAGAACCTAGCCGGAAAGGTCAAAAGGCTCATTTACACTGGCATGCACATTGATACGTCATGCACGCCCGTGAAGAGACCTGCTCTCAGAAGGGACAGGTGCTGCGTGCAATTGCATGCAGCCGCCTGTACCTCCCTATAGGAGGATGGGACTGCATGCGGCTACTCATGGACCCGATCCTTTACATATGTGCAGGTTTGGGTCAGAATGTAGCTGAATCTTCCCACAGGAAGGTAGAGCCGGCTGCACGGAATTACACACAGCACCAGTCCCTCCCGGGATTAGGTCTCTGCTCGGACGTGCATGCCGTACAGATGTGCACACCGTGTGAATGAGCCCTAAAACTCATCCACTCACTTGTTATAGCTCGTCTTATAGCTCATTGGCCTAGCTCTACTCAGGCTATCCCCCCTTCAGTCCATCATGAATGTAGCTGCTAGACTCATTCACCTAACCAACCGCTCAGTGTCTGCATTCCCCCTCTGCCAATCCCTGCACTGGCTTCCATCCCCCACCCCCCTCTGCCAATCCCTGCACTGGCTTCCAATAGCCCAAAGGATAACATTCAAAATATTAACAGTCACTTATAAAGCCATCCACAACTCCGCCCCGGGATATATCTCAGACCTTGTCTCAAAGTATCACCCTAACCGTCCACTCCGCGCTTCCCAAGACCTCCTGCGTTCCAGCTCCCTCATCAACTCCTCCCATGTTCACCTCAAGGACTTGTCTAGAGTCTCTCCAATCCTATGGAACTCTCTACCCCAACCTGTCCGTCTATCTCCCACACCGACTGCCTTTAGGCGATCCCTTAAGACTCATCTCTTCGGGGAAGCCTATCCCACCTCAACCTAACCGCTCAACCATCACGTTCTCAAATAATCATCCCAACACAGCTCCCTCCTCATGTATCACTTCTCCCTCCCTTTTAGATTGTAAGCCCTCAGGGGCGGGGCCCTCCTTACCATCTTGTCTTGAATTGTATTGTGATTGTAATGTCCTTCTTATATTGTAAAGTGCTGCGCAAACTGTTGGCGCTATATAAATCCTGTATATTAATAATAAAACCTATCACTTGGAGCAGACTCCAGTCCCAATAAATCCCGCTTTCTCCAGCAAAAGTATAATGGGCAAGTGCTGGCTCTGTGTAAAGCCAAAGGCACCGATTGGCTGCCTCAGCAGCCCCAGTATAACTAACAATTCATCGGTCAATCTGATTTCAGCAAACCGAATGTCTGATTTTTGGTTACCATTGAAAAAGAAATCTGCACATCAGGTTTGGCTACCGAGCAAGACTGATGGAGTGAACCTCTAAACATTAAACACTAGAGGGAGCAATTACATGTCTACAATAACGTAACATGTCCACATTGGAATGAGATTTAAAAAAAAGGAATTACTTTCAGGAAGAACTCCGAGCAAACCAAATACAAACCCTTGCAGAATCTCAGTTTTGGGTGGACTGACTGTTTAATTGTATTTTCTATCTTTGCACATAAAAAGGAGACGACAAATACCTGAGGGCTGCTGACAGGTCCGTATCCTATAGAAGGTGTGCCCGGAATTCCAGGGGACATTGAGGGGTTGATGACAGGAAATGGGGAACCCAAACTGCCGAGCGGAGAGTTCACAGAGGAAGTCATCGCAGATCCAATCATGGAAGGGTGGAGAGGCGCACTATGAGGAGGTGGGGTGGCGTTGAGGGAACGTCCGAGGGGTGGGCTGAGAGATGATGTGTCTGGGCTTTGGCAAACTGTGGAGAAGGAAACATTGATACCAATAAAAATACACGCCATGCATATCATGTGACCACAACATATAAATAGACAACATCCAGGAAAACATGATTATAGAACAGTGAAAGGCCGTAATTAGAGCCGGTGTCACCTGTTAACTTCAGCCAAAACTTTAGTAGAAAACACAAAAGAGTGATGACAAAACATCATTCCAAACATCAACTACTACTGCTTAAATAATACTAAGGTTTGGTGATCCCTCTGGTGATAATAAAGATCTGTATAGAGGAATTAGGACCTCCTTCCTCCTGCTGGGGATCCCTCTAGTGATAATAAAGATCTATATAGAGGAATCAGGACTTCCTTCCTCCTGCTGGGGACCCCTCTAGTGATAACTAAAGATCTATATAGAGGGATCAGGACCTCCTTCCTCCTGCTGGGGACCCCTCTAGTGATAATAAAGATCTGTATAGAGGAATCAGGACCCCCTTCCTCATGCTGGAGATCCCTCTAGTGATAATAAAGATCTGTATAGAGGAATCAGGACCCCCTTCCTCATGCTGGAGATCCCTCTAGTGATAATAAAGATCTGTATAGAGGAATCAGGACCCCCTTCCTCATGCTGGAGATCCCTCTAGTGATAATAAAGATCTGTATAGAGGAATCAGGACCTCCTTCCTCCTGCTGGGGACCCCTCTAGTGATAATAAAGATCTATATAGAGGAATCAGGACCCCCTTCCTCATGCTGGAGATCCCTCTAGTGATAACATCTATATGGTGTAATAAGAACTTTTGTAGTTGGGAACTGTGAGGAACACCTGCCAGCTTTGTATTGCTGTTGTGACCTCATGTTGAGGATTTCCCTCAATTTCTGTGTGGTCACCGGTATAGGAAGTGAGTAGAGCTCTCCACAAAAGAACACAAACACTTAAGAGGAACGTCGGCCTTACAGTAGTGCAGCCAATCAGATGCATTCACTGTTCAGGTTTTCCGACAGCTTCATCCACGCTGTTTAGCAGTTTTCTCTTCTATGGCCATTTTTACATTGCTTCTCTCTAACCACAACTAAAAGTTTGTTCGAGTTTTAACATCTGAGCTGCACTTCTGTTTCCTATGCGAGCTACACTCGGCCTCTATGGAGCACTTTAGCGCTAAGCATTTGAAGGGCACGTTCCAAGATTTCATCACACAAGCAGGAAAGTGGAGGAAAGTAAAAATCCAGCACACACACACCGCCCCACGCACATCCGCAGCTGATTGGCTGGACAGCTCTGCACAGAAACCCCTCATAACTACTGATTGAGCAGCACAGCCAAGCATCTGGGGTACCAGTACTGGGTAATACAGCTCGGCTTACCCATCACAGAGCCAGTCCGGCATATTCCGCCTACAAAATGATGAAAAATATGAATTCGGGGTGAACCCTTTCACATTTGGATTCTCCGATGTAGCAATAGGAGACTCTGGCTGACACAACCCCTGGCAAACGGAGTTCTCATTTCTCCAGAGACGACGCTGCGCACATCCCGGTACAGCCGACGTCTGCAGCCAATTAAAACACGATGGAAAATTCACTGGGTGTAAAACAAACAAAGAGGAGCGGAGCGCTGGGTGCGCCTGACCGCGGAGGAGACATTACTCCTCGTCGGTATAAGACTCACCTGGCCAACGGCTCTCATTGACGCAGCCGATTGGGCATTTACATAGTTACATAGTATTTGAGGTTGAATAAAGACATTAGTCCATCAAGTCCAACCTATTAGGATCTCATTCTAGGAGTCCAAACGTTTCTTAAGGTATTTACAAATAGCTAGGATGCTTTTTTTTCTTTGCACATCATTTCTGTTCACTATATTATGGTTGATGGTGAGGACGTCATACCTGACCCACATTGCATGAACATTCTTGGACCATACACATGTGTGTGTGTATCATATGTAACGATTGTTTCATTCGGCAGCCACATTACAATTCCACAACTGGTCATCCAATGTCTAAGGCCCCACTGACTATTCAGCATGAAATGTCCTTGTATCGGCTTCCTGGTTCTTCTGTGCGGAGCCTTGCATGGTCATCGCTCCCAATCCGGGGAAAACTTCACACCCAATTTCTCCCCAGGCCCGCTGCTGATTGCCTTGGTTCTTGGAATGGGCAACGCTGGGGTGGCAGAGGTTCTTGGAATGGGCATCACTAGGTTTTGTAGAGGTTCCCTGTAATTGGGTTCACTGGAGTCGTAGAGGTTCTTGTAACGGGCAACGCTGGGATCGTAGAGGTTCTTGTAACGGGCATCGCTGAGGACTTAGCGGTTCCTGTAATGGGGCTCACTGGGTTCATACAAGTTCTTGTAATGGGGCTCACTGGGGTCATACAAGTTCTTTTAATGGGGCTCACTGGGGTCGTAGAGGTTTTTGTAATGGGGCTCATTGGGGTCGTAGAGGTTTTTGTAATGGGGCTCACTGGGGTCGTAGAGGTTCTTGTAATGGGCATCACTGGGGTCGTAGAGGTTCTTTTGGGCCCTCACCCTGCGGATGAAAGCCTCCAAAACATCCAGCATGGCTGCTCCTGAATCCTTCACGAGTCTGAAGTCGCTAGGAAGAGAGCGCTTGTTAGGCGCTACACTGGTTGTGTTCTGGCGCTCCCACCGCTATGGAGCCAAAAGTGCCAGCATGACGCTCAGGTATAAACGGGCACCATTGCATTGTTGTGCTTCAGGAAACATGCAACAAATCCCTAAGGTGTGAATGTGGGCTGAGGATTGTTGAGAGGTGTAACTGCTCCGGTTTCTCTAGGGGCCGGAATAAAGAAGATGTGCTCACCTGATCTTCTGTTCTGCGGCAGCAACCGTTCACCTCTCTCTCCCCCTCCAGCTGTGGTATGTTCCTCTGCATCCTCACATCTAATGCGTGGGAATGGACTGTATTAGACGTGATGACGTCAGTTGGGCTTAGACCACCAGCGCCCGGGGAAGAGGAGGCTGCGGGGACCGGTCAAGCAGTCAGGCTGAAGGATCTGGCGTTTCTTTTATTTGAGCCCCTAGACCAGAACAAGCAGGTGCAGGGGAAGCCCCACGGCAAGGGTTAACTTGCATACCTGGAGTCCTCCTTTAATGTCAGCTTTGTCGTGCATCTCCATACGGCGTACAAAGATATTTCCTTGTCCTCAGATCTCCTCAATGGAAACATGTTGCCTGGCTACCTCAGGGCTCATTACAGACAAGATCACCGAATGCTCATTCTACATTTTCCATGCCAACCCCATTATCAGGCATGAGGCGTCATTTCCGCAGGCACGATGGTTACCTGGCTTTTGGAATCCATCACATATAAATCAATTCACCATCCCACGCCCCCGCCCCTTTAGTACACATGTCCATGCGCTCGCTGTGTTTAGGCGGCACTCATACCAGAACTTCAATTGTCCCCTAAATTGTATGGCAAATGCCAGAGGTGCTGAATGGGCCCCATTATGAGTCACAGCAACAGCCGCCGTCCAGCACTGCGCACATCACAAATCTCAATCTGCCGATGTATTAGAAAGTTTTGGATTATGGTCACATGACATATGTTGTATTTTATAGCTGAACTGACAGAGGAAATACAACGGGGGACTTTAACCTGCCGAAGGATTTGTATTTCTGTCCATCCAGTCCTAAGATCGACACAGCTCTGACACATCCCAGCCCTGTCTGGCAGCACGGAAGACCTCATTATTACTTACAGGTCTTGTCCTCCCCTCTGCCTATAATTGGACAGTTAAAGGAGAAGCAGGAGAATGAGTCAGTCTGTTCTCTCCTACTATCAGCATGACAGTGTGCAGTGAAATCATGGAGGCTGTCAGTGCTACATCTGAAAATTCCAGTTACCTGGCTGTCATGCTGATCCAACGGCTCCAGTTAGGGACTCGGGACGAGTATGCAGGGCAGGCGCTCTAACCTTCATGATATGTACAGTACATGTATACCGGGTTTAAAGCATACACATCACAATCTGTACGGCCTCAAGGAGCCGGGGCCTGC